GTGTGTGTGTGTGTGTGTGTGTGTGTGTGTGTTGTAAGGGAGGTCTAATAGGAGGTCAAAGACAACCCAGCCCCTCATTAGGTGGTGAAGAGTGAGGCTCGACGCTAGTGTCTCACCATCCAAACCCATCACTTCTGGGTTTCAATGAATAACTGACACACACACTCACACACACACTCACACACACACAGTAGCAACGTCTGCTTAAAGGACAGATCTCTCCACTCCTGGAGAAATTAGTTTTCTTTTTGTTGTCATTGATGAAATGCTTCTCTGTATTCCATAGAGATAATTACAGAACACAGACTTAGTGTTGCTTTTAGTTACAGATAAAACGTTCAGCTTCATTAGAAACACAGGTAACATATATATGGAAGCTCTAATTACACCGGACTGTTTGTCAACATTCTTTATTTTTATTTCTTATAATTAAAGATTGATTGCAGTAGAAACCTGGATAAAGACTCATGTAACGATAAACTGTAACGGGTATGGTCCTTACCCTCTTCTGTTCCTCCTCAGCGTCTGCAAACAGCTTCCTGACGTTGGCCTCAGACTCCCCGACGTACTTGTTGAGGATCTCGGGGCCGTTGACTATCTTCGGCTCCCGGGCCTTCAGCATCTTGCCAATCTGTCGTGCCATCAGGGTTTTACCGCAGCCTGGGGGTCCGTACAGCAGGATTCCCTTCACATGCTTACAGCCTGGAGACAGACACGCAATCGAGGGAGAGAAACTGAGCACAGGAGCAGCAAATGTTTCCACTCATCATGAAACCCCAGCAGTCCTCAGGAAGAACTGAAAGTGAGAACTTTTAATCTAATGATTCAAAAATGTTTGATCAAGTTTTAATGCTCCTAGTTGTTTAATAACATGTCACAGCAGCTTAACGTTAACTTCAATATCACACATGTTTATTTTCTTGTTTCAGTATTTTTTTGGATCAATATTTTCCTCGAGCTACAGAAAGACTCCGAGGTTTTATTGTGTGCGATCAATAACAAGCGGCTTCGATGATTGCTTTGTGATTGTTCTAATAAATTACAACTTCATAATAAAAACAACAGCAGAGAAATGGTGCAAGGCGTCAGACGATGGTAAAGAGTCGGGGAACGAAGCGCAGCAAATGTCCCCGGTCTGATGCGAGCGCAGGGACGCTGTCTCATATCAGCCAGTTCTCAATGGCTCCCCTGTATATCACTCAGGCAGAGAAGTTAAGAGCGGATAACAGAAGACTGACGACACTTCGCATCACTTCTGATTTCCATAGTTTTATTCTGTCTCCATAAAGATCAAATGTGGACACTGTGACTCAACCACGTTTACAGTGCAGGTCTTTTAGTGGCCTTTTGCACCTGCCTCATGACATTTAGCCCAGACTAAATGAGAGGCCCCTGATAACCATCTGAGCTGCCATTTGGGCCCGCTGAAGGAAAAGCAGCCGGGATGACAGGTGGGGGTGGAGAAGTGATGTGTTTGTGTCGGGGTTTGGGAGCGAAAGTATCAGAGCTTCTGTCTGTCTGTCTGCTTCACCTCTCCAGGAGCAAAGGGGAGACAAGGTGAAACTTTCAAATTTTTGGTCCAACGCACACACAAAATGCGCAACATGCACATGCACACGGCCTGTCTGTCAGCACCTGCGCTCCCTCCGCTCCCCACGCCTGCCAATTACGGCTTTACCTTTAGCTGGATGCTCTATCACAGCATGCCATCTCATTACAGCCGCCAGCTGGCCGCAGCCAAAGGCCAACTCCTGCACACAACCACCAGGCTAAAGGTCAGCTCGCACACCGCCGGACACTGCCATAGGCCCCGGGGCAGTGTGGTCACGGAGCGTGTGAGCGCGCCAAATTAAAGTAACGTGCGCATTTGCCAAGCTCAGATGTTGTTACAACAGGTTTTCACAAGACGTCTCGATCGAGGATTAGAACTGATGTGACTGTGTGCGCATGAGTAAGGGAAGGGAGGTTTTATGTGCTGATGGCTTTCATTAGAAATGAACTGCTGCTCTTTGAAGAGTGAATCATCATAATCTGACAGCTGTCAAAGATCCATTAATGAGTGTGCGCAGGGATCACTGTCAGGGGATGCCAGAGTTTTTAGTCACGGTCGAGGCACCACAGAAAAACGCTGCTGTGCCTGCTAATTACCGATTCTCAGTTTTGCTGAGACATTTCTCAAAGGAATTAATGAAGTTTTGTTTGCACTGATGTTGATTTACGGATTAAACACAAGCTGAACAATAAAGTAAAAACAGTGATTATCTTTGGCAGTAATTACTAATCAGTTCACCATCATGGATTCAATCCTGCTTACTTCAGCTTTAACCATCACTTATCAAATTCCACTTGATAAAAAGGGACGTTTTGATTAGATTGTGTTTTATTCTTGTTTTGTTTAACAGAGTTCCTGGAATAATTAAACTTGATGAAAACGTGAGAATGAAAATGTCCTCATTGTACAGATGACTTGCAGCAAAACTGTGCAAAATGTGGAAGAACGGGACGTAAACAAATGAATAAGTGATGGCGAGATAGACAGAAAGAAGTAGGGGAGGGGGACTCACCCATCTGTTCGACTATGTCTGTAGGGAAGACTCGGGAGGCGAAGGCTCTGCGGAAGATGTCAGAGAACTCCTTGTCAAGGCCGCCAATACCCATCTTCTCAAAATTCCAGTCCGGGCTGATGATGGACTGGCGAGACTCTCGGGTTTTGGCTTTCCCTGGAGGAAGGACACAAAAAACATTAAGTGAATATAAGTTTGAAACCAAAGTCCTACTTTACTTTGATGCAAATCCCCAAATAGATTCAAACAAACACCAGTAAAGTTAATGTTCAGTTAAGTAAGAAGCTGTAAGTTACCAAAGTTACAAGGTGACACGTCTAAAGTTGTTGTATAGTAAGTTACTGTGACGCATTAAACAGAAGACAGAAAGAAAAACATTTATTAATGATAAAACGGTTTCGGTCATTTCCTCTTAAAACGTGCCACACCATCGACAGTGGTATATCACACTATGTATAAATAAATAGAAAATGTTCAGTGTCTGATACAACTCTCACTTCTCTTGGATCTTTTTCTGTTTCCTGTTTCCTCTATTGAGTCACATCTGAGGCCTTTCATTCATTTCTGTCTCAGTAACGAAAATAAGAGACGTGCCACTCTTACATGACGTCCTCAAATATTAAGTGAAAAGATAAAGATGATGCTCGGCCTGTACGTTTACATTTTAAATACATAAATACAAGATTTCTGAATTGTCTGAGAGAACTATTAACTCGCTCACAGTCAGACTCCTGTGGTCAGAGTGCACCCCCTCCTGGAGAAACGTACACATTGCACCGTTTTGTTTTCACATCACACTTTCTCTACATTTTGAAAAAAGGCAAATTGTTCCAGAACTCACCAATCAGAGTCATGGATGAGCTCTCTGACTTTTCAAAAATCACCTGACTGTTTCCCAGCAACAAACCAATCTCAATCTGAGGAAAGACACAAGGTTTTTAAATAAATTGTGTTAATTAAAATGAACGACTTTCATGCTGTAAATTAAAGAACCTGTGATGCTACAGAACGGAGGAGTGTGAACATCACGACAGATTATTCTCCTGGTACCTTCGGTTTCTTGCCACTGGCTTGTTCTCCCCTCAGGACGCTGGGGTCCATGGCCTCAATATCTTTTATCACCAAGCCAAACAGCTTGTCACAGAAACTAAAGCCCAGCTAGAGAAAGAAGATTAGGACAGGAAAGAGATTAACAAACTTCAATTTTAAAAAATCTAAATGAATGAACCTGAAAATGTTTGTGCTTCTACTGTGAACAGATATTTTCTCTGATGGTTTTATTATGAAAAGGACACTTTCACAGGTAAAGATCTGGAAGTCTTTGATTCCACTAAATTAAACTTGGAGGTAAATATTAACCCCTTAAAGCCCTGAGCACCTGCTGGCCAACACAGAAAGCCTGGTTGTTGAAGTGCTGGATGAATTCGGTAGCCATCTTGTCGGAGTCGTACGGGTTGCTGTCCACGCTCTTCTTCTGCAGGAAGTCTATCTCCACCGTCATGCTGCTTATACACTGTCTGGACTTGTCAAACTTGTAGTTTGTTACTGCAGGTGGAGGAAAAAGAAGGACAGGGTGTGAAGTTTACAGTTTAGACAACAGCATCTCTCAATGACCTGGATGATTTCTGATGACATTTTCCACACAGTGACCATGTCGCACTATGTTTGAAAAACAATATGACATGATATTCCCTTTGTATATGTGTTAAAGTTAAATTAAAGCTAATTTAACACAGTTATGTGGTCACTTGGGGGAAGCAGCTGATTCTACAACTCATTATACAATTATTGGATTTTATAATGGGTGTCTTTGGGAGGCTTCGAGAGTGGTGACGTCACGCAAGGGCCCGGGGAGATCATCACATGCCTTCGATCATGTTATGCCTTTTTTATATTTGATTCAGCCCTGATATGTAGACAGTCTCATAATAGAACCAATCACTGTGGCCTGAGGGAGCGAACAGGCCTTTCTCTGGATGCAGGCCAGCTGTGGCAGATGTGCGGAGACACCCTCCCAACCACATTGTTTAAAACATCTCTCTCTGCCGAGTAAATCATCTCACGACACCTGAACAATAGCAAACCCCCCCCCCCCCGAACAGCAAGTATGATTAGTATTCTGCAGGACGCTGCCATCAGAAGTCTGCAGAGTCTGATGTTTTTCTGGCAGCGATAAAGACTCCGGCTTTTAAAATCTGTCACATGTAAGTTCCATGAACCCTTCAGAGTCTGAGGACTGAGTTTGATGTCAGAGGCTCTAATGTTTCCACTGTGGTGTCTTTCAATCAAAAGGCACACAGATACAAGCGTTGGCTCTTATCGCCAAACGCTCTCAAATCTCAAAATCTCTCTTTTTTGCCGACCTGTCAGTGTAGTCCCATTTTAGTTGGAAAAAATTGAGGAAATCTCAAGCTGCAAAAATGAACCTTACCTTCAACCTCTTGTCCGATCGATAGGCCTGCCCATTTTCTCTGTAAGGAAAATAGAGAAAGTGACTGATTTAAAACCACGTCTTATTATTCCCTTTGTGTTACGACTCATTATTGAAAAAGGAAGAAACACTCTGTGACCACTTCGTTTAGGGGAAGATATCAGACAAAGGACAACTACAAGCACAAAAAACATATAATTAAACATTTCACGGAGACATCAGTGCAACGCTCCTCTGCAGTTTGGGTCTTATTTCACAGCATTTCTCTAAATTGGAATAACAGAACTCAGAGCTGTAGTTTACATGTCTTTGACCATCTCATACACAAGCTGTGCTTTCTGAGACGGTGATCAATCAATCATTATTATCAAATGAATTCCTGGTGTAAAATAAGACCGTGTTGAGGAGGTTGCAGTCGTACCTGTGTGCTGTTGTGGTTGCCAAGTTTATAGACGGAGGCAGAGCAGGCAGAGAGAGAGAGAGAGGCAAAGTGAAAGAGGAGAAAGCAGTAACAGACAGATTCAGACAAACACAGAGGTCCATGCAGAGAATCCACAGACAACAAAGCAAGAAAGCTCAAAGGTTTAAGTGTCAGAAAATCATAAAGGTTTGCATTCGTTCACTGAAACGATGAACCCAACCTGCGGCAGACTGAAGCCGATGGTCCCGGAGTTCACACTCGGATGCTTCTTCAAGGTGAACACAAACTTGTGGTTTAAATTGCGCACAGTCACGTGTCTGCGTTGAGATGATCAAGAGACAAAAGGAAATGAATTAAGAGTAGTACAGAACAAGTTGTTACAGTTTAACATAAAATAATCCTGAGTGGATCTTTCTTCATCACGTCCATCCTCTGAGATCTCTGTCACTTTTATTATTAGAATGTTTCTCGCACATCTGGGAATAATAAAGCTACTTTCCTTGAGGTGATGTGCAACAAGTAGGAAATTACATCAGCTCAAAGATAACTCTTGATCTAAGATATGGTAAACCTTCAATCACATCGCTTCTGGTTCCATGACAACAACGCCGCCTGGTGATGAGAACCGTGAGATGCATCTCCATTATTTGTTTTCCTTATTTAACAGGTTGAATTTACTAAAACATGCATCGAGCAGTTCCGCACCGATCACAAATAAAAGCTGAATAAAGGTTGCCATGGTTACTGTTAGAAACAACAGGAGGAAACCCCACTCACTGTTCAAACTGTGGTTCCTTCTCATTGATGACGGCACAGTTGGTCAACGACAGTTCGTCCGTTGGGCATCGAGCCGCTTGCATAATCTGAAAAGATAGCAGAGAAAATAATGCAAACATTGACTTCACTGAGGAAGAAATATCTATAGACACAGTATCCAAACTGGAGCTGCAGATAATGACTGCTTAAATTACAGATTAACACATTACATTCTCTATTAGTTGTTCAGTTTATGATCAATTAAAAATAAATTAAAAATTCGTATCCGTGTAAAACCTTACGTTGTCCAGTTTGCTGCCATTAATGACAAAGAAAATTATATTTGACAAGTTGGAGCAACAATTAATCAATTATAAAATAGTTGCAGTTTAACTAAGTTTTTAGTTTTTAAAAGTGCTGCTCAAAATTAAAAGGGCAAATAAGAATCTTTAAAGAGCTTTACATGCAGTTGTTTAATTCACAGTTTATGACTAAACAGTTCTGTACACTGAGAATTACAGTGTCTGTAGAGTGAATATTTTAATGTACAGTTCAAGATCTGCTGCATATAACAAGAGCCGTTATTATGGACTGCTATGGATGATTACAATCCAAACAGACTTCCAGTCTATGTGTGGGTCAGCACTCTTGAGGCTTTGCTCCCACTCCCTGTCAAAAACCACAATTACATACATGTTGCTATGGAGATCACTTCACACTGGTAAAGTCTCTGTGGAGCTTCAGCACAGCTGACTATTACTTTCCACCAGTAAAGTTCCCACAGGGTTCAACACTCCCCGAGTTCCTTTTCTGCTCAATGTTTAGATGACAAGTGACTGTAGGTCAGAGTGCACCCAGATTCCTCTGCCTTTAGACTTTCTAATTAACTTTTATGAGCACTGTCACAGAGATTAGTCCACATCCAGTATCTACATTGTACTGAGAAACATATATACTATATACATATTTTGGCTGAAAGACCCATGAATTGTCTAAAGCCAAGTTCTAATAGCATAAGAAATCCAAAGTGTTTCCTGTGCACCAGAGATTGGGTAAATTGCATTCCTGGCATTGTTCACATAATCACTTGAAATGTAAAGTGTAAATGAGGATCACAACAGTCCCAGTATATAAGACCATAGACCACGTAATCATCTGAATTGTACTTATTGTTTCTGTTACCCTAGAATGAGCTTTTATATGGAAATACTTTATATATATCTGGAACGGTCCCTCTCTACGGAGGCTGCCATGTTTTTAAAGTAAACATCTTTTGATATTTTATGACAACTGAAGATTTCCACATGTTTGGAAGGGGGTGTTCAGCTTGCAACATGACACTTGTCCACTAGATGTCACTAAACTCCACACGCTGGACCTTTAACAAAATCAATAGAACAATAAAGTGATAATAATCTTTAGTTGCAGCTTCAACAACCTTCATGAAGGAAAAGCTGCTGAATCCGTGACACTGGTTTAAACACAGAGGATCCTGTCGATCTGCTCTTCTTCCTCTTGTTTAGCCATTTCATGCTGTTAGCTCACACTGTCTTCCTTCCTCTCACTGAGCCACCATTGATTCAGACAGTTGAAGCAACATTTACAACATTCAGCTGGGTTTTCTTCGCACACAGAAGTCGGTGACACAGCTGACGACACGTTGAGCTGTTCGGATATTTGACTTGAAGCTAAAAACAAGATGCTAGCTGCAGCCTGACCGGTCACAAGGTTTCTACTTCCGGGCTGCGGACCAACTTTTGAATGACAAGTAGTCCCTGCCACACAGGCTGCCTCTGCGCTGGCTCACTTTACGACTTGAAAACAGACCCCGGTCGGTTCTGTTCCACATCCGCAAGTTCCCCACCTGTTGGGTTTTCGTGTCTGAGTCTAAGTGTCGGGGTTTGAGTTCACTCACGCGGCCGCTCATCTTGGTTTTCCTCCGTTTCTTCTCCTCCGCTCGAGTGCGACTCAGCGCTAACGCTCCGCGACGTGCAGGGGGCGGGGCCTCCGTACGCACAAGTGATGTCATCGCGTACACAGCGCAAGTATGTGCGTTAAAGGAAAAATAATAATAAATAATTTAAAAATTATTTTTTATCGTAAATTTAACAAATCAAACAAAAGTAGAAATTAAATAAATATAAAGTATGTAAAAATGTGACCGTTATAGAAAGAAACCAAATAAAAACGTGTAAAAATGTGATTAATTTCTAAATCTCTAAAGTAGTTTTCAGCTACTTGATTTTGTATTTTCTAATTTTGTGAAATTTTTATCTGTGCAGAAAAAAATAAAATAAATTCAGCCTTAAAAAACGAACATTTACCTGTGGAAAACAGTGATGAACATTTATTTGTTTTACCTCAGTGAAGGAAATCATTAGAAAAATATTAACTTAGAATGATAATAATCTTAAGTTGCAGCCTCAACAACAAGCTCTGGCTTTAAACCGTACACAGAAATTCAGTTTACAATGAAGGAGAAAGAAGGTGTATCGGCAAACTACCTTTGAATCTGTAAAACTGTGGTTACTAAAAACTCAAGATATGTCTTCATCTATAAGTCTTGTTATTATTATCTACTTCCCTTTTCTGTCTCCTTTTAATTGTCTATTTTTAGTAACTGTTGTTCATTGAGGCTTTTGCCTCAGCAATTTTTTTTTGTCATCTGTAAGTTGGTTCTGTTTCTTTGTCTGTTGTCTCTTTAACATCAACCTGCCTGGGACTGCAGATGAAAATTATTCTAAGGCTATCTCTGGTACATGTATATGAACCATTGTTCACCAATTTTAAATGTTACAACAAATAGTCCAGTGCACATCAGACTGTAAACAACTGACTACAGCATTTGAGTGAATATGCACAGCTCTTCAAAAACATTTTTTTATTTGTTCACGGACAAGTCTCTCTTCACCTTCTTCTCCCTTGTACTGAATATAGTACATTTGATTACAAACAGAAGAATACACATCACAGAGAACTGTAATCCAAATATTTGTGTGGTTTTATTCCAGTTTAATCAAAGGTTACAAAGTGAAATGATCCAACTGGCAAAACTCTCAAAGATAAATCATGCAAACAAGTCAGCAGAGGGCAGCATCCACCTTAAATCAAAACCGTTTCAGACTAAAGCTATGCATAGAGGAACAGTTTGGTTCCACAGTAAAGCTGATAGGTTTTTAAAAAAAAAAAAAAGTCCAGCAGCATTGTTGCTTCTGCCACTTCGTGGAAGGCACAGACTGTAAGGAGGGTTGACAGGAAAGAGAACAACACACTGAAGAGGTAAAGAAAACCACAGACGAGTCCATGAAAGACAAACCAACACAGGGATGTTAATCTGGAAGAGCAATGTGCTGTTCCTGAGAGGACGAGATCATTTGGTTTCTCAGCAGGAGTTCACTGTGCCCCATTCATCCGCCATGCGTGATGTAAGAAAACAGAAATCATTAAGACTCTGAAGAAATATATGATTGAACCAAAATCCCACAGATGAGCACCGATTTGAGGACGTCGAAGTTAATCAGCGTCATTTAATAAAAATGAAGACAAACGACACAAACAGCATGTATCCGGTCTTGTGTGTAGATAACAGTGATCAGCGCTCTCAGCCTCAGAGGCCTTTGTTGAAGTAGACCCGTTGTACTTTGTCTCCGTATTGAGACACGATGGAGTCTCTCAGCTCCGGCTCCAGCTTCGACACGGCCATGGAGCTGTGAGAGAGAGAGAGAGATGGTGATGAAGGATGAGAAGGAGAAGAGAAGAGCGGTCAGGATCAGTTTGATCAAACAAACAATTGCTTACGCAGACTAAACAAACCAATCATCACTGATAGTGAAAATCTTTTCCTTCGAAAGCTTTAAAAACATTTCCAGGTAACTGCACCCTATCAGATATCAAAATCTGAAATTACAAACAAAAGATTATATTCAGAGGAACATCTTCCACATTGCTTCACTCTCAACCAGACAATTATCTAATCTTCATGAAAGGTAAACATGTGGAGAAACTCCGTGGTCAGTTCTCCTGATTTTATCTGCAGGTCATGTCAGAAAATGGCTGAAGCTACAGTTCACGTGTCGGCAGGGGAAAGTACAGAAACCGGTTCATTACCATCTCTGAGGAAACAGGGAGCAGGCGGCCGGCACCATGAAGATTAAACTTCAAAAACAGAAAAAAAAAGGAGTTAATTTTTATTTAACCATGAAACTCTCCGAGGACATTAAAGATCCCGTGAACCTCTTCTACTTACAACACGCCCACCAGCATCACTTGAATTGGTCCGTGGAGGTACGTGATTCTCTGTGAAAAGACAGAAGGAGAGTTGAGAACAGATGCACACGATGATGAGGAGAAGGCAGCGAAGACAAAGGTCTAACCTGCATGAACTTGTACTTTTCCATCCTCTGCATGATGATGGGGAGAATAACTGACAGAAGAAAAGAGAAAAATATTAAGAGAGGAACATTCAGTAACATTTTTTATAAAATAAAACCTCTCTACGTACTCATTCCTGGTGCAGCCATGGTGATCCGAGAGATGACCACCTGCGTGATGCCTTTTACTGCAGCTTTCTACACAGGAGAGAGGATTTTGTTAATTATATATAAAACAACAGCTATACTTTTATTTCAAACAAATACATGACTGTGTGTGTGACGTGTGTCCAGAGTGCTGACCGTAGACTGCCCCAGTTTGTTCCCATTTTCATCTGTGACAGCGATGCCATTTAGAATTTCCCTGAGAAAGAGAGAGAAATGATATTGAACACTGATGTTGTGTGTCTCTTTATCACCCATGAAGCCACATTGTTAGACAATGACGTGCAAAACTGGCTGAGATATCCCGAATTTCAGTTTTTGGTGTGTGTCAAGCTCCAAAAACACTTCCCATGAGTCACCTCTACACATCCTTAGTTACATGCTCGCATTTTAATACCAGTAATGCAGCATGAACACTTCATTTATCATCCAACGCAGGAAATGTAATGCTGCGTTTGTGGCTTCTGCTCTGGAGAAGGCGACTTTCATTTCACCATTGAAAATCTGCACAATACAACACGCAGTAATCCCCCCCCCCCCGCCCCACTCCACATATATTTCTTTTAGGAGTTCAAAGAGAAACACAGCAGGACTCACTGTTGCCTCATCATAGGAATATTAACACAGTTGGCTGCTGCCACCGCTGCAAAGGGAACCCAGCGAGCCACAAGAGGAGGAGCTTTCTGCAGGAGGAAGAGACAAAAGAAATACGTCAGCTGTTAAAGACACAAGCCTCCATATAGAACACTGAAAACATCCCATCAAAAACATGATAACAGGAGAGTAACAGTCCCAGTAGGTTTGGTCAGTTTAAGTTTTTGTACCTGACGTTAATAATAATATGAATATCTTTGCTTTTCCTGGTTTGACAAGTGAAAACTTCAGCTGCGTAATTTTTAGACTTACAATGGATTATTTATATTATCATATATTTCCTTTACTTACATATAACAAGGTACCTGATTAAATCTCTGTTGGTTGATTTATTAAATTGCTGATTTGGGAAAGGAAAAGACATCTGAAGAGACACAGCATGGCTTCTGTTGCCTTGGTCGCACTGAGCCATCACCATGACAACTGATCAAACTCCATCACTGATGAGGACTGTTCCTGACAATCTCTTTAAAATGGGTTTGAAAACAACCTGAACTCAAAGTCTCACAAGCTTGAACTGCACAGAGAGAATGTACTGAATCATCCAACTATCATGTGACTAATAAACTGTTTATATATTCTATAAACGTATTTATATCATTGACCCTGTTGTCTTACAGAAGACACACCTGCAAAATGAACCGTCTCAAACTATCCAGACGTGTTTGGTGATAATCAGACATGAAGAATGAATCTTGTGCAGGAAACAGTAAGTGGGTGTCTGTACCTTTGTGTAGAGGTTGAGTCCGACTGCTGTGGCCAACGCCGTGCTGGTCGCTGTGATGTAGGCTACTCCAATCTGCCTGAGAGACACAAGGCCACAACTGTTTTCACATCCACTGCTGTTTAACACTTGAGGCGCAGTTGTCATCAACGTTCGATTTACGGAAACGGACAAAGCCTTCTGTCCGTGCTCTGCGTCTATTTTGTCCGGAACGGTGCATGTTTCCCTGAAAGCTAACGGTTACAGATGAAATGTCTAAATGAAGCAGAACCACCAGAAACTGTGGAGGGCTGGGCAGACAATGGTTGAAGCGAGACGACCACAGGATACAAAGACGTTTCAACAACTTTTTGAGGGGAGAATATATGATGTTACTTCACCAGATGTGTTTCTGCTCATTTCTGCTCTTGAGTGGATGAATTGATTAACAATCATGCAAAGGTAAGGGGTGCATGGAAGTCGTTTAATCATTTGAATCTGAAATTTCTCTTCTCCAGTCCAGGGGGTGGTTCGTGCTCGGATGGGGATCTTGTGAATTTGGGACCGTCCACATGACGAGTGTTAACGGAGTCTTACTAGAACTTACTTGGGAGTGATTGGGGAAGCAGCGTTGCGGTTGGTGTAGTTGACCAGAGCGTTAAAAGACTGATTCACCCACTGCCAGAACACCACAGCAGGAACTGTCCTGGAAACACACAGTTATGAGACCATGACAGTTTTCTTTTTTCGAAAATGCAGCAATGGGTTAAAATGCAGCTCGTCTTGTTTGCGCCTCACTACCTGTAGAACTGCAGCATGCAGCCGGTGATGGCCATGCCTCCGGGCACCTGGAAGGACATGCGGCCAATGAGGTTCATGCGGTCTCCTGTGTCTGGGTGGAAGGCCGAGTCGTACAGCTTCTTAGCATAGTGGAGCTGCTCCTCAGTCGTGCCAGGGGGGATGGATCCTGCCCTGCAGAGCATCAAAGAGTGGAGCACTCACTACCATAACGTGCAGAAGGCATCAGTTGCCTGCAGACACATTCTTATGCAGCCGGTTTTTTGAGTTTCTACTCATTTTTCATGTTCAAACTTGCAGGAAGACACAGCTGAAATGCACACAACGGATTTGGGGGAGGGGAAAGTTTTAAACATATCTCTATATACCGTGCATCATTTTTATCATTCTGCCTAAAGCTCTAACTCGTGATTCATTTAAGTATGCTTTTGTTTTCTCAAATTATGTCACGCATAAATTCCACTCCTACAAAAGGTGGTGGGATGTTTGTTGCTGAGACGCGGAAGTTATAGTTTCTGTGTCCTTTATTCTTACCTGCAGCTTTCTACGAGAGCTTTTGCTTCGTCCAATCGCGAGTCAGGTAGCAGCGCTGTTCGACAGTCGGTGACGTTGAAGAAGTATTTCAGTCGGCCCATAAATGTAGACTGATCCCATTGTGGAGCGTCGATGTCAAACGAGCTTAAATCCATCGCGGTGGTTTAAAAGAAAAGAGTCCAGGACCTAATGCATAAAGAGGTTACACTGCAGAAGGTCACTGGGCAGCTGCAGCTGAAACCTGGAGAAAGAAGAAGGTTAATGTCACAAACTGAAAATTAGATGATACAACAGAGGAAGACCTCAGCTGCACCTCAAGTCTTTACTGATTCACAGTTAACGAATGAATAACATGGCTGGTTCATGCTTGAAATCGTTCTTGTTAAAACCAGTGAGGCCTCAACTGAGCTGATGTAACATTTACAGATTATTTGTCAGATTCCTTTACCTTTAACTACAAAGTGTGTGTTAGTGTAGCAGCAATAATACTGATGTTAAATATTTTGTGATTTTTCAAATGTGAGGATGTGTTTTTGTTGGTTACACAGAGAAAATCAATATAAAACTGAAAATAGTTGCAATTAAACCAGTTGGGGTGAAATTAAAATAAAACTAGACATCATTATCATCATTTTATTACAAAAGATTATTTTAATCGCACAAAATTATTTAATAAGGACATAAATTGGCTTTGAAGGAAACGTATGTGAACACCTGGAACCAGAGTCTCAGAGATGCAATTCATGGATCTTAATGAAAAAAGACTCTCAGTGATATCTAGTAGTATGAGCGGTTTAGTGCAGATTGATTGAATTTAAAAGGGATTGTTAAGAGGTACGAGCTCCACTGAGTGCCATTCTAGTTCTTACGTCATGCATCACACCAAGTTCTTCGGCTGTAGCCTCCCAAGCTGTTAAGTAAGTTGCTGTTACCTCACATGCACCCTTGGGTTCAAACAAAACATATCTCTAGACCAACAAAAACTCCTGTTCCTCCCTAAAAAAGGATCTCAGCCTAAACTTCATCTGAAATCATTGACCACCTGCTGGTAAATGGTTCCACAGGTCGTCATTCTGCGTTTTTTTGCAGCCGCAGCATTTTGCTGCTTATTCTGCATCGGGAGGAACTACAACCTGCTGACCACAGCTCAAAACATCGCTCTGTACATCTTCATCATTCCATCGCTAATGGTTTACTGCAACAATTTTGTGAAAAGAGAAATCTCACAGCAACATTACGCTGCCCTGTGCAATCTTTGGTAAATAAAAGGGCACATGGGGCGAGGAGTGTATCGGCGCTCTCTGGAGGATCCGCCTGGTTTGAACTGGATTGTTTGTTTGGAAAGTAGGGGAAAGGCCTGACGAACCTGGTGGGGAACATGGATCACTAATCAAAGCGACCCTTGTATGACACGTTGATAACACAGTCTGCAAAAACTGGCCCTGACAGGCTGCACAGGATAAAGCTCCCATTGGAGAAACTGGGTCATTAGACTGTGAAAGAAACACTTCACTGATGGTGACATTAACTGCGTGAGTTGGTGAAGGGGTTTGTGGTGTGGGTGAGGGAAGAAGCTGAATCCAGATCTAATTCATATGAATGTAGTTGCTCTCTGAATGCCATTCTAGTTATATCTGTTTTGTGTGACCAACGACAAAAACCTGGGAAGTATTTCAGAGGAATTACTTTCACTAAAATACTGAAGAAGAAAATAAGCAGCTGAGACTTTGGCTGTTATCAAAATAGTTGTAAACCAAATAATAATCCCAGCTCTAACACCGGTGGTAGATTATTCAATAACAAAGCCTCTGACCTCCTCATGTGTTTGGAATGTGCAGATGTTTGTGTGTCAAGTGACCACGAACACCAGCTGTCACACAACAGGAGCCGGTCAATAGAAGTGTATTTAAAGTTATGATGGATCTAAAACGTGGTGGAGTAGAGATGTTTAAAGAAAGTATTTAAAGTACAAGCTGTGTACTTTAGTAGTGCACAGAGCGAACAGAGGCTTCCTGAGGTTGACAAACTGGATCTGCAGGCCATGAGCTCAGCATGCTCACATGTGACAGAATGTATGAAACTACAGACCGATCATGTTAGGTTCGAGGTCATGTGTGTTGCAGGAAACATGCAAGAGAATCACATGTGGCAGAATCACATGTGTGTGGACAGAGTGAGGTGAGGTGGAGGCTGTCAGGAGACACACAGCAGAGACGTCCCAGTAGAGTGATGCAACATCTGCCAGAGTTTACCAGCGGACCCGTGGAGGAGCGGAGACACAGGTGAGCGGGAGACAGACACACGGAGGCTGCGGCTCCGATCACACCGCAGCTTAGTCTTACCTGAGAGGCGCCTCCGCGGAGCAGGAGCTGTCACAGCCGAACCAAATGTGACCGAGGAGGCTCAGGGCACAGTGGAGAAATGTGCACGTGGCAGGTCCTCGTCCAATCACAGGCCGGGGTAGCCACCACCACCCCCCCCTACTACCGGTGAAAACACACACACACACACACACTGTGGTGTCGAGTTAGCCCCTTGTAAACCCTCGTGCTAACTAGCTAGCTCACTAGCTTCCCTGGTGGCGTGGCGGGTTTCGACCCCTCGCGCAGAGATGAAGGATGTTTATCATGAGCAGTGACTAAAAGTGACGCAGCCACAGTTCAAACATACAAAAGTAGCGCGCAGGTTATTGTGACCCACACTTAGCATGCGGCTAACTGCTAGCTTACTGCTAGCTAACCCCCCCCCACGTTGCATCTTCGCTCAGGGCGCGTTCAAGTGATGTTGGGGGGGGGGGGGGGGAATCACGCGAACGACACATCAAAGTTGTTTTTTTATCGTTGCCTTGTTTTATTTCTACATGACATTTGGCCGATTAATACATGTTTCTAAATAAAAAACGATAAACAATCGAAATGAATGAATACACAAAAACGATCAATAGATTTACTACACGTGAAGATGGAATTGTGGGGTTTTCCCCGACAGCGCGTGAATGCAGCACGGGAATCGAGTCTCGTACGTAGCGGTGCGTGTGACGTCACCCCCCTTAGTAACCCTCGGCGGCGTCTCCGGGAGAGAAGCAACAAGATGGTGAGTTCGGCTCCGTCCCGGTCCTCGGACCCTCGCGCTTCTCTCACGCGGAAACATCGACGCAGACCGTCGCGGACATTTTACCCGACGAACAGTTCGCGCGCGACTTGTCGAGAAAGAAGCTGCGTCGTTCGTCGCTGCGCTCCGGCGGGGGGGGGGATTAGCTTTAGCACGCTAGCTGTGTTGAGCTCTCATTAGTGGGCAGCGACACAGCAACAGATGAGGTGACGGGCTGCAGCTGCTAGCGTCGTTAGCATCGTTAGCAAGGAGCTTTTTTAACCCTCCACCCAGAGCAGAAGGTGGCGACTGGTAGAAGAGTGCACCGTGCCCGTGAGAGGAGCGGCTGCACGGGGAGGAAGGTTCCCCCCCCGCAATGGTGGATCTCACGCTGCCCCCTCACCCTCTCCCTGTCTCTCCTCTCTCCTCGCTGCAGGGATTACTGTCCATCCTGCGTAAGCTAAAGAGCACACCGGACCAGGAGGTGAGGATACTGCTGCTGGGTCTGGACAACGGCGGCAAGACCACCCTGCTCAAACAGCTGGCGTCCGAGGACATCAGCCACATCACCCCCACACAGGTGAGGACACCCAGGGGAGGCAGGACACAGGGGGAGTCTCCATTAGAGGCCACGAGACAGGAAAGAGCAGAGCAGGAGGATTGAAATGAAAGTTGAATGTGTCCACTACAAATTATTTATTCTGAGTGTCCTTTAGTTGCAGCCGCTGTGGATGGATGTTGACACCAGGTCTGAGACTAAAGCTCTTCAGGGGCCAGGACTCCTGGTCCTCCTTGTCCCTGGAGACACACCATGTCTCCGGGCTGTTTGTTTGGGCTCGTTGTCAGGCAGCAGAATTAATTCAAGACCGACGATCACACACACACACCTGATAAATCTAAACGGCCTCAAGCTTTTGCACAGTTATGGTTTCTGACGGTTACTGTCGAGGTTGAGAGGCTCCTCTGCAGATGTGTGGATCTATAGAACAGGAAGTGACATCAGTTCACTTGTCTAAGGCTCTTTTGTGTTTTCCCCAGGGATTCAACATTAAGAGCGTCCAGTCTCAGGGTTTTAAACTGAATGTCTGGGACATCGGAGGTCAGAGGAAGATCAGGCCGTACTGGAGAAACTACTTTGAAAACACCGATGTGTTGGTGAGTGGATTTTAACACAGCAATGACGCTGTATTTTACTTTATTGAAGGTTTCGCTCTGCAGTGTTAATCTACTCTGCCTCGGTGAAGTGACTATTTTAAACATGAGCACAGAGGAGCTGCTGACGATGCTAACCTCCATTTTGTTTCAGATCTATGTCATCGACAGCGCAGACAGGAAGAGGTTTGAGGAAACCGGTCAGGTAGGTTGATATTTTATGTAACGTATATCAAGTCTTCTCCATTATTGCCTCATCACCAGCAAATGTTCCAGCAAATACTGCTCGTTCCGACACGAGGGAACCGCTGCTGTCAGTGAGAGTGTGTGTGTCTTAATGTGTAACCAACAGTAATGTGTGTGTGTGTGTGTGTGTGTGTGTGTGTTACAGGAGCTGGCTGAGTTGCTGGATGAGGAGAAGTTGAGCGGCGTTCCCGTTCTCATCTTCGCGAACAAACAGGACCTGCTGACCGCCGCCCCGGCCTCCGAGATCGCAGAGGGTCTCAACCTGCACACCATCCGCGACCGCATGTGGCAGATCCAGTCCTGCTCCGCCCTCACCGGAGAGGGGATCCAGGTGAGTCGACCTTTTCCCTGTTTTCTCCCCTTTTTTTTTTTTTTTTATGATCGTCTTTATTTGCTTCCTCTCACCATGTTGTTCTTGAATCCACTTCCAGGAGGGGATGAACTGGGTCTGCAAGAGCGTCAACTCCAAGAAAAAATAGCTTCGCTTCTAGTCTTCTGCTCCTCGGGAGGAAATGGCAGCAGCAGCACACACACACACACACACACACGCACACACACACGCACACACACACACACACACACACACACATCCTCCTGAGCCTTAGTATGATGAGATATACCTGTGAATGTAAACACACTACTAATCCAACATGGACCTGGAGTTTTAATCCCCTTCATCCCTATATCACTGTTTTATCAATCCACACATCGTCCTGTGTTTGTCTCTAGAAAGAGGAGAGGTGGTGGTGGTGGTGGTGGTGGTGGTGGTGGGGCGGCCCATGCCAGGAAATCAACCCCCTCTGCTACTCCACAGTCCACCTACGTCACCACCAGTGTCCCAGCCAATCCCAGTCACCGTCCGCAGCCCGTCACAACCTCAAACATTCCCGTTAAACTGCTCTTTCATTGGAATTCCATCTTATTCTCTAAACTGTTTCGCACGCTGTCCTGGAAACCAGCTCAACTACCACCTCCGCCCACTCATTCCGTCACTTTTCTTATTTCTATCATTCCACGTCGGCTGTAAGTGCGTTTCCTGCTCTGTTTGAAGTGAGGTATATTTTTGTAACTGTTTTATTTATGGTGAAGTACAGCGTAGAGTGCTCTTAAAACACCAGTGTGTGTGTGTGTGCGTGATTTTAAGGATGTCCAACTCTCCCCGATAAAGAATATTACTGTACATGTTAATATGTATAAAAAAGATTATGAGGAACTACATTTTTTTTGGATCAAATGTAAATAGCTCAGCCCTGTGTTCATATGTTAGGTTATGCACATGTTATAGAGGATTCGTTACCCTGCTGTACTTTGTAATCTATAATGTTTGCATATCTAATATATGCTGGTAGATTTTTAACAAAGGTATGTACTGTATTATCAGCGTGTGAGGGAATTCACTCTTTGGACGTCTCCTTTTGATATTCTTGAATGTAATCTGTCCAGAATTGAAGGTACTGTAGGTGAATTAAAAAGTGTCTCAGAAATCATGTGGTGTTGATTATTGAGTTAAGTTGTTTCCTCCACAAACAGGATGATGCAGGGTCTTGTTGTTGTTGTTGTTGTTGTGTGTCTGACCAGGCTCTCGTGCTCACGCACCAGTAGCAGGTGGAGTCAGCTGTTCATGACAGTCACCAAGCCTGTGGAGAGGCCTCTGTGGACGACAGCAGAGTAATGACCCTCCCGAACACGTGTCCTCTGTTTGTGTTACTGCTGAAACAACATAAAGTCATCCTAATAAATACATTCTGTAAAGCTAGTTCACTCCTGAACCTGAGATGACTTTCAGGTCTTAACTAATTATTCAATTATGGGAGATGTGGTCAAAAATGATAAAAGATTAAAAAGAACTATAAACTACAAAAGTCAGTAAATGAAGTTTACAATATACCACAAGAAGAAGAAAGTAAAACACCGAACACGTCCACATCAAATGTGTCATTTTGCTCATAATATAAAAACAAGATTACTTGTATAAAAGTTTATATTCGTAATTGCTTTTTACATATTATCC